ATACAACAACGACAGACTCATCCTTTCCTAATTGCTTGACTAAATAGAAATGGCAAATTCTCTCGACTTTATCTAATATTTGTCAAAATGTCACATATTATCACGATAATTAATTCATCCGGTTCCCCTCAAAGTTCATGCTGCAATTAGCCCCAGAAACAAGCAATTAGACCTTATAGCTTCCGGGCCTTGCGACTGATTTGGTCGCCGCCTAAGAGATGATTTCATCTCTATGTTGCCCTGACAACAGGATGGATCAGAACAGCATGCACAGAGTCATGGTCGTGACAGCCGCTTTGAGGGGTCTGGAAAGAAGGTGCGAGCTGAAATGGAGAAACAGAGACATTCGGCAGCTTGAAACTGGCCTTCTCCAGAAGAAAGAGCGAAGATTAAAGAGGATCGTGCGATGATCTGAATCGGCTCGGGACGGCAACTGATCGCCACTTTAAAGCGTCTTCGGGCAATGGGGAAAGACGTGTCAGCCTAACCATCAAAGAGTAAATGACACTCGTAATCATTTGGTCGAAACATTTTTCAAGTGAAACTGTGATGAACTTTGATTCACATTCAGGTCATATAAGGCAGGTTTCGAAACTATGAGTAGATTTGGAAAATGCTTTCCAGTCACCGGAAGTGTGATAAAAGGGTGAAGCACCGATTGTCGAATTTTTCCACAATTATAGCCGTGTTTCCCAAAGTGCACTGTTATTCATAGCTTTTGGGAAGTGGGGCTAATCACTACAACCTTGGGAAAATTGAACATTTAGACATACGGTGATTGGCATTTTTACCGACTATTTGAGTTGTACCAGGAAATTGACAAACTGTGTGAAAATTCTGGTGCTACGCCCGATTCACAACAAAAATGTGTTTTCCGGCACTATATAGCCACAAATCGTGGTTTAGAAGAGGCATGATCGGTCCGCTCTTGTGCCTAGAATAGGAGAAAGGTGTGCTATGTGTGAGGTGTATTCCTGCCATTTCATAGGAATGTGGCAACGGGACTGGAGGTGTAGACCTAATATTTCCATTGAATTTCACACAGCCAGACTGGGTGGGAATGCAGTTCCGACCCCGCCTGAATTGGT